CGAAAAAAAGAAAAATAAAGGAAGTAAAAGAAGAGCAAGAAAAGAAAGAAGAGAGAGAGAGAGAGAGAGAAAAAGGGTAGAGCAAAAAATGTGACCGACAAAAATGTTCTCCGTTGCGGCACTTCATATCCACGTAAAAAAAGAAAAATCCCTTTGCTTGTCAACTCACGACGTTTGTCTGTTCTGTCGCAAAAAGATCGCGATTTAAGAAAAAGATAGATAGATAGATTGTCGATAGATCGTCTGTTGGATTATCGAGACAGGACTGATCAAGATTACAAAGATAGGGTAGCGAAATATCGTCGTCGGAGGTTCTTCCGTGGGAACTTTTCCCACTGGTTCGCGCCCCGGAGCGGATCTGCGTACGCGCCGCAAGGGTGTTTTCCGCCCAAGAAAAATCATCGTGAAAGAGAGAACAACAATCGAAAGAGAAACGTATGTACAGAAAGGGGGATGGGCGAACGAGAGACAACGCGAAGAGAGAGACCGGTGGCGGGAGAAGGTTTGGCGCCCTTATCATCTGATACACGCGGGGGTGGGGGGGACGGGGTCTCGGTAACGTGGGAGGAAAAATGATCAAAAGAGACGTGCGATCTGGCGGTTGCTCTCTTTCTCCTCGCATTGTTCGCCGTTGTCGCTGCTTTTCACTTTTCCTGTACCTCGTAATCCCTTTTCCGAACTTCACGCTCCAAATCCCACTTCTGACCCTCACAAAGGTAGACGCGGTCGTAATACATTTGGCAAATCTTCTTCAACTCCACTACAAAGAATACGGAGAGTCTCTCAGAAATCTTTGGTTTCTCGATATATTTGCTTTTTCTGACAGCTTTTAGGCAGGTGAGAGAGCACAGGCGGAGTGAGAGACAGACAGCCCTCGCGTGTCGATTAATCTCGCGCAGTGCGCGATGCAAAAACTAGGATCATTTAGAATCGAATCTCGAGTCGCGAAAAAGCGAAAATTATTGAAATATTTACAAATACATTCAGCCGACATTCTATCCAATTAAATTAAATGTGGACTATAAAAAAAAATGTTAATTCATAAAATTTAATCTTTTTTAAAACGTGATACATAGAGAGGGGAAAAAAAGTTACAAAATGTATAATAAACAGCTACAAATTTATCTCTTCGAGACGCTCTACTAGCTTTAATATGCATTACACTTCCGATAATGGCACTGTCGTTTTTAAATAAGTAAACATGTTGCACGAGCGATATGGGGGGGGAGGTGGGGGGGGAGGGAGGGCTAATTCTTTTCGCTCTATATAAAATCCAAGCGAGCCTGGCTTTACATAATTTAGCGAAGAATATAAACCGTGCGGCTCGAATACTAATAGCATTCCGCGAACGATGCCCGGAATCCCGATGAGAGAAGCGCTTGAGATCCCGCAACAAGCGAAACTTCAGAGACCCCGCGATTTCGAGTAAATTGGCGGTCCCTCTCTCGCTCCACGTGCGCGATAATAAAAGTTGCGCGGTGCTCGAATGCTTAATCGCGCGGGATGTCGGGGGGAGGGGGGGGGGCGAAAGTCGAGGTGTTCTCTCCTCGGCGCGGTCGAACGGGCGTAAACTTGGCTCTCTGAAATCTCTTTCCGTGAAAATGGTGAGATCGCCCTGTCGTTGGTCCTGGAATATCGCGGAGAACACGCCGCCACACGACCTCGGCCGAAGAACACGAGGCTTCGAAACTTCGATCTTCGGCCATTCGCACGTCCCGATCTGTGAGTCCTCACCGTGATTGGATGAGATGTGGACGAAAAAAAAAAAAAAAATAAAAATAAAAAAAATAAGCCAGCGCGATCGCACGGATAATGGCGACGACGATCTCCCATTGAAAAATTCCAGTTCCATCGTTTATTTGTCTTTTAAGTGATTTCCGTACTGCATTAAAATAAGTAAATAAAGGGACAATTTAAGTGAAATTAAGTGAAAACGTGATTTCACTTTTGTTTCTCGTTTTCACGCGAGTGCTCTCCGATGCGATCAGGTCTCGTCGAAGTGACATCTGCAACTGCAGCGCGGCCGACGATGCGGATAAAAATAGATAGACAAAAGGGCAGCGCGGTGCAGATAAAAAAGTTAATGTTGATTACGTTCCTTCAAACTGTCCTCAAAGTCTCATAGAGAGTTTTGGAACATTAGTGTCTCGCGGCATTTCCCTATCTAAGAGACGTGCAAACGTGCTCGAACCGAAGGTTCAAAGACCCGTCAACTAGAAACGCCTTCGAAAACCGTTCGACCAAGGGTGTCGCTCGGTCAAGCACGTGGCGGAGTTAAAAAATCACGTGGATCAGAGTGAAAGTTTGAGAGGAGAGGATGAAAAGTTGGACAAAAGTAATCTATGCAGGTGACTCGACAGGCTCTTTCTTTTTTTTTTTTTGGGCAAGCCGATCGTAATTACCTCCATTTCTTTCAACTTAATTTGCCTCTCGAGGTCATACTTATCGCCCTCGAGTGAGTATAGTCTGTTCCAATATGCCGAACAGATTGTCTGCAGCTCGGCTAAAAGAACAAAAAGTTACTGGAAAAAAAGGCAAAATTGAATCTGCTGAATATGTTTCGTCGTCCCTACCGTCGGCTGATTTAAAAGTTAATTTCGACAACTCGCGATCGCAATCGTATAGAAAGCTTGTAGCTTCAAAAATAAAAAAAAATGATGGAATTAATATATTAACAATGATATTATATAAAATTGCGACGGCTGTTATATTTAATCTCATCGATATCAATAGATTGAAAATAATAACAATTGCTACATTTAATTTGATTTGTTATTATTTTTAACATACCGATAACAACATATTGTTCCATTATGTCCTTTTATTTTTTTTTTTTACGGTAAGACTTTAATGCTTAAAAATATGATAAAAAATAATGCATGTGACGATCTGTGATTTTTTTATAATGATTATATTATCATTACGAAGGATTATTCGTGACGGGATGAAATTATCATGGGGAAAATAGAAAAGAAATGAGTCTTTCGCGTTGGAAGCGAGAAGCACGAAGCTGACAATTGCGTGATCGTTAACCTGACACGGGAGGCAAGTGGGAAAATTCGACGGGAGGAATTCAGGTGCGAGATACGAAATGCAAAGATATGAAAAGAGGATCTGCTGGTGGTGGTGATAGTGGTGGTGGTGGTGGTGGTGGTGGTGGTGGTGGTGTCTACTCGCAAGTATAAAGTGAATAAAGTTTTTTCTACTCATGGCGCCTGGCGAGAAATTAACTGTGAGACAGGTCTACGTTGAGCGATTCTACGAGTCGCGAGGGGATGCTACGTTAGCTGCTAAATACTCGACGTCTACGTCTAATTACTATTACGGATATAGCTCATAAGTATGCAAATCGGAACAGTCGCTAGTGTAGAGCGAGATGGTGCTTCGCGCGTGAAAGAAAAGAAAGAGAAAGAGAGAGAAAAAAGAAAACGGACAGGAAAGAGTATTGATATGGCGTTAATCGCAGCTCATCTCTTTGTTTTGCCACGAAAAGAAACTTTTTCGACCTCCATATCCTTCTTGGCGACTTCGTACTCAAGGTCGTACTTCTCCCCTTCGAGAACGTTGATCCTCTTATGATACTGGTTCAGAATGGACTTCACGCTAGCTGTTGAAATTCAAGTCACTCTTGAAAAATGCTCGCGACTTAACCGTTATACGTCGAAGATATGTCGCGCATGTCGCTACGTACTGTGAATGGATACGTGTTGTAACGGATGTAACAACTTTTCGTGAACGATACGTACGGAAAGGGGGGGGGGAGGGGGGATCGGTTTCACGGGTACAAACGGTGGGTGAAGTATGAGGGTGGAAAGCGTGAATCTGAAGAGGGAGTGAGACCGGTGTGTGTGTGTGTGTGTGTGTGTGTGTGTGTGTGTGTGTGAAAGCCAAGTCGAAATGTTATAAAGTGTCGCTGTCCCGCGATGACGTGAAGACTGTCTCAAGTTTCCCAGCGAGTGAAAGCGAGCTCTTAAACCGCCTTTCGAGCGCGAGACGTCACTGCGAAATTTGAAACAATCCTGCGTCCAGGAGCGATGATAGAGATGTTTCGTAAGAGAGATGCACATAGATATTCGCGCTGAAATCGAAAATAATAGCACAGTGGGTGTAAAACATAGTGGATGTATACAATACTTAACAAACATGGAACAAGCATCAGAGGCTTTTCGTAAATAATAAGAAACCAGTAGAAAATATTATGGTGCGTGTTGTGTGAAGCGGTGTATAAAAATTCAATATATTCGTAACATATATACCTAACGTGTTCCCCAAAAAGTGATGTTATTCTGTTATTCTGATTCGGTGGTTTGGTATGTCTTGCGAGAATAGTGTGAGTAGTAATAAGCCGTATTAATACAGTTTCAAGATCAAGATGCGAATAATCCATAGTGTTTCTTAGATCATCAATTAAATTTGCCAGAGATTTGTGAACAGAGGATTAAACGAAGAGAACAGAGAGAGATAGAAAACAGTAAGAGAAATCGCGCGCACATTAATGCGAAGAAAAAAAAAAACAAGATGCGGACAGTATCACGAAAATCGACGGCAGTTTTGTATGTTACGTAGAGATAAAACAAAATAGAAAAGAAAATGTGTGAATAGAAAAAAACGGTGCGACGAAATAGTGCGAAGCTCGTGTCTCTTGCCCGACCACAGAACGGAAGCTACGACGAATGATTCAAGTTTCAGCAAAGAGCCGTTAATCATTCACGAAGTTGCTCGATAACGATTATTCATCAGCTCGTGTTTCGTTGATGAAAGTAGCCGCGACGAGCCAAAATTGCAAATCCTCTCGCGAAAATGAAAGCTTATGACAATTGGAATATTTTATTATTATAACAAAATATGAAGGTACCTTTGGATCTTGATATTTTCTTTTTTATCCAAATCGATTTATCGCTCGCTAGTCTTCTCGTACAATTATTTAGATGTTGATACTTTTATTAAAAATTTATATCAGTTAAGTACAATTGAATATGAATTTTTGATAAAAACTTCATCCGTATCGTAACCGATGTAAAATTATGGAATCAGCAATTTCGCAACATCGCGCTAGTCTCTTTGGCGAAACTCTAATTATATTCATCGTCGCCTTATCACAGATGTGCAACCGGGCGTAGATCGGTGCGTTACACAAGTGCAACAACATTGAGCGTCGTTATTACATCGTGAGTGCCGCGTTAGTTTTGCACGTCGCGTAAACGTTCTCGCAACTGTTGCTCAAAAGTACCTCAAAGTCTTTCTTCTTAACAATAATCTCGATGTCAAATTTTTTATCCTCCAATGCCGAGATCCTATTGTGGTACTCGCGCAGCACGCGCTTTACGGTCTCTGTATGGTCATCATCACAAATAAAAGATGTAAAATAAAATAAAGGCACGCACGCAAAATGTCGCGTAATTCATGTATTCAGATCATCTAAAATGTGTCTCAGTATTGTGCTTTCTCACTGTTCTTTCCACTGGGAACTTACAAAATTAGTCTGATATAAAAAAAAAATATCACAGTGGTCTAATCTTGAAAAAAATACCATATATCAATCATCGTACCTTCGACCACGTTTTTCTACACGTTTTTGAAAAAAATTTATTAGCGACGATCTGTAAAAAGGATTGATAAAAACACGATGGGAAAAATAGTAGCATAAAATAAAATCTTCGGCCTGTAAAACTGGAAATGAACGCTGCGTACTATTAATTATTTTAATAAAAATGATAATAATAAAAATGCTTTTATTCTCTAAATAAATACAACGTAGCCCAATTAAAGACTATTGCACGGATATAAGCATTTTTCTTTTAAATTTTAAATTATAGAAAATTAATTAAAATTATATCATTAAATCGTAATATTTTATTTAATCTTCAAATTCATTGATTTTGTGCAATAATCTTTGCTTTTAACTGAAGATCAATCAATTAAGGTAGACGCAAATTTACGCAGTTTTAGAACAACGCAAACTTTTGTCTTCGAATGTAGAAACTATATTCTGTCGAATATGAAAGTAGCATAAATGCGATTTTTCGTAAGATTGTATAATTAAATAAAATACCTTCGTTGGCATCGTCGATAATCTTCGGTTTTCCACAGCGTTCTTCAATTATACGCCTCCTCTCGGCCGCTTTTCTTTCCTGCTCCTTCTTCAATTCCTCGGCGGCTTTCTTACGCAGCAGCAACTGTAAACATATGAAAAATTCGTAAGGTTCGATTCCATAAGAAAAAAAGAAAAAAAAACATGTTGCGAACGGACGAGAGAGAACTTTTATCAGGAATATTCAAAATATCTGAAATATTTACGCGTTTCACCGACGAATCGATTCCTAACAGCATGAAATTGACATAATTCAAATTGAAATGCGAAATTTGCATTCGGTAGTCCGTTATAAACCGTATAAACAATTTAAATCGTACGCAATAAAGCGTGTTATTATACTCGTCTAATTTAATAAATATAAAGTTACTCATTACGTGATCGGTTAATCGTATATTAAAATGGCTATTAAAACAAATGGACTTGAACGGCGGACAACGCCTCTATATGAGTAATTAATTTTTATTTCTGTACAAATGTGCATCGCGTAATAATGGAAAGGCGAAATGGAACGTGAATTAATACGTGAGTATGACGTGTTAAGCTTACAATGCTCGTCTCGAGGGGAATATCTCCATCGTGGTTTACTCACGAAATAATTTAAGCTTGAGGCTAACGCCTCTCTCTCTTTCGACCAGCGGGCGAGATAATGTCGGTTGGAATTTGGCGGATAGCAAATATTGACGCAGTGGAAGGGAGGATTTACGGGAAAATAACATGCCGGCGGGGCCAGCAAATGCAAAAAGATTCTTCAAGAGGTAATCTGCATACACACGGGAAACTTTATGTACTGCGATTGCGAATGTTCGCGACGGTGCATGAAGAGAAACGTAGATCAGAGATAGAAGGAGAGAGAGAGAGAGAGAGGAGGGGAGGGGGA